CCCCCCAAACAGCCAGGCCTCGTCCCCAGGCCGGAGAGAGAGAAAAGTCATCCCCGCCTCGCAGCTYGCAGGCGGRTCRGGAACCTCGCCCGCGAGATCGGCACCTCGGGGCTCCAAACCGGAGTACCCACTCACGGAAAACCGATTCGGTGCATTGACAGCAATGGACTACCAGCATTCCGGGTCCATCGAGCTCGGCAACACAGAGGCCAGCAGCGCCAGCACAAGGCCCATTCAACAGCGAAGGCGCCGGCGAAGCCAACGAACCGCCACCCGTGTCCTGTCAGAGCTAAGAGGCAAAGGCGAGATGAGCTCGGACGAGGTGGGAGTTGCCCCGATTCTCTCAGTTCCTTCCCCCCTCGCGTCAGAACTCCTGGCAGTCCCCTTGCCCAGAGATTTCAAGCTCCCACCTCTACATAAGTATGACGGGTCCTTCGACCCCAACGACCACGTTGACGCTTTCCAGTCCCAAATGCACCTCGCCAGAGCCAGCGAATCATGCATGTGCGTGACTTTCACCACCACCCTCAGGGGGGTAGCCCGCACTTGGTACAGGAACCTGGCCCCCCGAGTCGATAAAGTGCTGGGCCCAGTTCGTGCAGGTCTTCACTGCACACTTTGTCACCAGCAAACGGTGCCCCAGAGCAGAAGAAAGCATCTTCGGGGTAGTCCAAAGGGAAGGAGAACCCATACGGGGCTACATTAAACGATTCAATGAAGCATGCTTACAGATATCGCGGTTAGACCCCGCGGTGCAGCTCGCGGCAGCAAAAAGAGGGGTGACGCACAAAGAAGTTCAAATGGCACATGATAGCTAACCAGCTCGCGACCGTGACCGAATTTCTCAAGCTCGCGGACAAGTTCATGAGGAYGGAGGAAGAGATCAACCAACGAACCGAGGGCGGAAACGAGAAAAGAAAGAGGGATGGCGAGCCCTCTAACTCAGTCGACCGAAAAAACCCGGCCCGGGAACCAAAATCGAACCAGTCATTCCGAACTCCCTTACCAGTTCGAACGGATTACACGCCACTAAATACAAGGCGGACCGAGATCTTAATGACGATCAAGGACGCCCCGTACGTGAAATGGCCACCTCGCCTAAAAGGAAATCCGAACGAAAGAAACAAGAATTTGTATTGTAGTTTCCATAGGGACCATGGTCACAGTACCGAGCARTGCAATAACCTCCGAGACGAAATAGAGGGGCTCATTCGTCGCGGACACTTGAGAAACTTTGTACAGCACAACAATAATAACAACAAAGCAGATCGGCCGAGCGAGCACGAAAAGGACGCCCCCGAATCTAGCAGCAGGCTTGCCGAACCGTTGCAGCGACAGCCTCCGGTAGAGAGGCCAATTCGGGGAACCATCCATGTAATTGTGGGAGGTTCGGTGGTAGCGGGGTGTACCTCGGCAGCAGCCCGGACTTCAGTT